ATTGTCGAAGGGAGAAAGCTACAGCTAACAGCTACAACAGCTAACAGCAATTGAAGGAGAGCGCCTGACAGGCTGGCGCCGTGGCGAAGCCGGCCTGACACGCGCTAGAATCCTTAGCGAACAAGACTGTATTGGTTGACTGCAACAATAAAACCACCACACGCTAGTTTACAGGGTACACGAACTTCTTTGGAAAATCCTGCTTCTCCTATGCATGAACAAAAAAACATTCTTGTACTGCCCAACTAAAAAAGGATAACCAGCACTGGGGTCGTGTCACCTATCACCCGCTTTCGAATAGCTGTCGCCTGGAGCTCTATCACTTTTTCTCAACCTGTCAGAATATCTGAGTTCTGGAAGACTGTAACTGGCTACTGCTATAGCAACGGAGTTATCAAGTGTGCAAGGCTATTGATACGGCGCTTATATCAGTTTAGCTAAGAAAAAGAACAAAGCATTTGTTCGAAAACAGAAGTCGACGCAAATGAGTTCTATAGCTTTAGTAATTACTTCTCGTGGATTTCAATAGGAGGTTCAAGGTTTCAAGGATTATTAGGATAATTCGAGAGTTTTCTCAGTTTTACCTGAGAGCCTTGCGGCTGCGTCTTAACTAGGTGATCCGGTCTATGTAACAAACGGTGTTCCAGCACTCTTATCGTATTTGCTTTGAAAAATAGAAAAATGTCGGTGGTTAACTTTTCTTGGTTCTTCCCATTTCACTGGAAATACACAACCTTCCCCGCCATATGCGCTCGGTGCATGGCAGTTCTTTGAGAAAAAACTCGATAAATTTTCCAGTGAAGTGATTGGAATTGAGAGAAATAGAGCGCGTTCAGACTTCGCGATCGCGCGATCGCGAAGTCTGAACACGCTCTTAGAAGGAAGGTAGGTGGGATGGGGGGGGGGAAGGAATAAGGACCGTATCAGAGGAGGGAATCATTAGGAGGCCATATTTGGCAGGATTTTTCTCGATCGGCAGCAAGGAAAAAAGAGCCGCTACAGGGGTGAAGGTATCGCTTTCAAGAACAACGGATTGATTTCCTATGTTCATTTAAGCATATAATCGGCACAAAGAAATAAGGAACGCTGAAGAGTCACCTTAGAAAGATATATCAAGAGAAAAACAATTCTATATGAATTCTTGTGACTTCAAGAAAACGTGTTGGCGATTTTTTTCAAATAAAAATCATTGAAAATGAAAACTGTAAACAGACTAACTACGTTGAAAAGTCTAACATATAAGAAATATTGAAGGAGGTCAAAAGCGAAGAGGCAAGTCATCTTCGATTTTTGCACAGTCCCCAGAAAGGAAGCCTAGCAAAAGTATTCTCCTCCCTTTGTCTAGAATTCTTGGTGAGCGTGGAAACTACGTAACCAGTTTTCACTAGCGTTAGTAGTTGACTTTCGTATTTTTTGTGTTATTTCACGT